CACACTCAGAGTAGCACCTGGCTGTAGTGCATATGAGAATGGAGAAGCTGCACGTGTAGTAGACGTGAAGCTGTGCCTACAGTACAAGTACTTCAGAGGGGTCAAGACCTTGGTCAAGACCTTGGTCAAGACCTTGGTCAAGACCAAGTCACTGTGCACTATTTTGTCCCTGAGTGAAAGGAGGCAGTGTTCACAAAAATGTAAATCTGGATTCAGACGAAGGTCTTTTTGAATATGATGGGAATAGCATTTGTACTGTGGTACCGTTGTTCCTCACACACTGGAACACTTTGACTTGGTTGCCATGGTCTTCTATTTGCGTTGCCTTGTGTCAGAGCAGCTTCAAGCAGTGTATTCCATTTACATGATGGATGGCATTTGAGTTTTGTAGACACGAGACGTAGAGACACAGAGATAGAAGTTCTAACAGCTAATGCTAGAGAAGTACAAAAATACATGTTCACTTAGCCAAGATGTCAATTTAACAAGAGAGTAACATGACAGCAAAATGTATGTCAAGTTTTACCAAACAGTAAATAGTTATTAATGTCATTCTTTGTCCTGTATAATTATAATTGTTTTGTTTGTTTGTTTGTTTGTCCTGGAACAGTTTCCAACAGACATTAGAGAAATGTAAAGTATTGACTGTATAGAGACAGAGACAGGTCAACTTCTCATCCTCGTTTTACTGCCTGGTTCTTCAGGTGCAGTATAAGTTGAGGTCACAGGTAGTTTTAAGGTTTGTTCACCCTGACGCCATGATGGTACACACACAAATGATGTCGATATATGTGGATTTTAGAACATCCTGATGTCATGTATTATGTATTATTTTCTCAGTTAAACCATAATTGTGCGGTTGAGGGAGGTTTGTATCATTTTATCACTAAGAAGGCAGATTTATTTATAATTAGGTTTATAAATAAACTTCAAAACTTTTCTGGTAGAGATTGTGTGTTTCACACATGCCCATCATTTTTGTACATACCCAGAATTATTGACACTATCTGAGTGCTGACAAATGGAGTATTGAGCTGGTTTTATACCAACAGCATCCTGGAAGGAACGACTTAATGATTCACACACACACACAAACCAGGAAAAAACAACGCATAACTCTCGGCTGCAGCATCGGTGCATCAGTAAACACTCTCCCGTCAACACTTCCATATTTCTTCTCCAGGTCTCCACCTGTCACTTCAACGCACCACGAGCTGCGGCGGGTACAAACACACTGTTAGTGCCGCTCCGAACACGCAACACATGCGCACGGAACGTAATTATTTAAATTTTGCGATAAACACAACAGAACGTCACTCTATCTACACTGTTATGGCAGCCTTTCAGCCGAGCTCGACATAAACACGCTGACACACTGCAGAACCACGCATGTAGCCGCAAACAGTGGTCCCCGACAGCGTATAAACACACACACAGACACACACACGGGCGGAGATGCTGAGCACATGCTTGTACATGTCCACGGTTGTTGGTGTAGTTCATACCTGTGGTCGCGTTCAGGTCCGAACAGAACCAGGGCTCCCCGCACACCGGCCCGCGGCCACAGCGGCTCAAAGTTGTTGCGTGTCTCTTCGGGTCACTGTGAACTGAAGTGTCGCGGTTTAAGGTCTTCTTCTTCTGCTGCTCCTTAGCTGCTGCCCCCCGCTGTCACCGGCAAGTTGTGGTTGTCAAGGTCACAAATCCCGAAATGTCGGTCAGTCGGGAAGTCCATCGGTGTGTCTGTCCAGGTTTCCCCCGGATGAAGAGGAGGGGAGAGAAAAACCGCTTCACCTCCAGTCTGCATCAAGGAGAGAGAGAGAGAGAGAGAGAGAGAGAGGGAGAGGGAGAGGGAGAGAGGGGTAGTATGGGGGAGTGGTAGAGCTGAAGATGTAGCTCCCCCTTCATCCCTCCACACTCTCCTCTTGAAACCCATCTTGCGTGCGCATTTGATGCAGCAGGCACAGCCGGTGTATGTGTAAGTGTGTGTTGGAATTCATGCCGTTGTGGGGAACAAAAAAAAAAAAAAAAAAGGACTGGTTACACACTGGGACTAGGACCTGTTGCACGGTGGAGTCTCCTGACTGACAATACATCAGAGTAGAAGAGACTCGTTATTTTTTGTGTCCTGTTTTATTGAAACAACAATCCTACAGAAGGTATATATTAAAGATTGAAGTTTCCAAGACAAAATAATGATGTGTGTAGTACCACTCGTGGCCAGCTGGCTGCTTCCCACCCTTTTGTCCATAAATTCTAAAATCAGAAAAGATTCACATAAAGAAACTAAATGAATGGTTTTGTATTTTAAGATAAATGTGTGTTTACAAATTTAAGAGCATTTAAACTATTTTAGTAACTGGGGAAAATGGCCCAGGTCTGTCTGATCTACCTGGTGTCTGAGGTCTCTCTATGGCCCAGGTCCGTCTGATCTACCTGGTGTCTGAGGTCTCATTAATATATTAATATGTATTAATATGTATTACCATTAGACTTTACAGGATGGTGTTAATAATATTATGATGACTGTGAATCTACTGGAAAACTAAGCGTATGTTGGATTAGTACAGCAGTGTGTATTTGTGTGTGAATTCATGGAACTCCATCTGTGGATGTGTTTATGTTCAGACTCTGTGTCATCATTGAGTCCAAGGGATGAAGTAGTGCAGCCTGATGCAGAGGAAAACGATCACATAATGACAGTGATACAGCCTGCTGATGTAATCACATCAAATTTCCCATCAACAGGATACGCCTACATTGGATTTCTCTCCAATGAATATCCAATCCTAAATGATGATGTCATACTGCCATGATCTGGGGTAAAAATAGCCCCACTGAACAAAGTAACCCCGGACCTTTACAGGGCAGACTAAGAACTTTAGTATTTCTTCATCTATAACCACTGAATGATTTTAATATTTTATGGACAAACGGTTTTGAGTTTTGTGGTCATTCGGATCAATAAATGGACAATTTGAAGTGTGAGATTTTAACAAAATTATTACTACTACCTGTTCTTCTAAACGTATTTTAATATATTGGTCATTGTAGACCAATGTTTTTCAAAAATGGGGTCACAACACAAAAAAAGGTTAGGAACCACTGTTGTGGACTATATTTTAAATTGTAAAGTCGAGCACTAGGAAACATAAATATGACATAAGCAGCTGTGAAATGAACAGATATAGTCATTATATCTGTTCTCTTTGATGTCATTTCTTTACTGGCTCTGTCTAAAATCCCATTGAGCTGTAGGTGCTGGAGACCACAGGAGACTCGTTAAACACACTCCTTCTGTAGCAGATGGAACTTTACTGACCTGAGCTCAAATTGTATCCCAACAGCTCCCAAGAGAATCTGGATATGAATAATGGAGTCATAATCCTCTACAGAGTGCGTGCACCAGATGTCAGCGGTGGAAACAGAAGTTGTCCCTTCACTACGTACAGCAGGTTAAACATTGACAACTTTTTCTTATTTATATTGTGCTTTACTTATAGGTGAAATAACAGTGAGTCCTGACGGCCCGGTGGCTACGATTACAATCTCAACTCCACCATAGTTGTCCTGTTCAACAGTTGGACAAAGGAACAAATGACCAGGCAGACCTTGATTAGTCATCCTGATCACAGAGCTACCAAGAGAAAAAAACATTAAAATTATGGAATCAGACTATTGGGTATTATTTTATGAACATTGTTCATTATTATATTAATTATAATACTGTTGTATAATAATGTACTTGATGGTTGATGCTTTTTTATTACTATTTTCTCTAAGAAGGTTTTTTTTTTTTTTTTTACCTTTAAGTGGTCTCTTTGTGTTTGCCTTAATGGAGGGA